TTCCCACAGACGGCGCCATTTGATCCGGCTGGATTCGTGGTGGGCTGGTTTGGAAAGTTAAGTAGGCCTGAACTTGGACCGGAGCCCACGGTAAACCTACAAGAAAGAAAAGAACCGGACTTAGGCCGGAGTTAGCACTCCGACGGCCAAGTCAGTAACTTCCTGAAGAAGATTTTATGCTTCTGTATGTAATTTATGTATATGATTTCGTTCCTTTTTCCTGTATTTACTGCCCCTATTTATACTAAAAAAGGGGACGGACGTCAAATACTCTTCAATTTAATTTACCTGTCTCATCGCGGTAATTAAGCATCCGGACCTCAAATTACCTTCAATGCGGTTTAATCTGTCACTTCATTGGCGGCGACAGAGGCAAAAAGTAGCGGCCGAAACGACATTCCTCTGCTCTTGTCAGTGGATTGGACGTGCATTAAATTCCCCCATGTGCAGCAATGATCACCCCCGGCGGGCGGCGGGAAGCTTGGCGAGAGAGCGAGAGGGCGAGAGACCTCTCGCACGTGGGCTGCTCGCGACCCACTGCGTGATCCCTCTCGCCTACCGAATAGCTGTTTGATGGGCCCTCTCCGTTGATGGGCCTAATGGGGCCTTTGGTCTTTATTGGATCTATCAAGCGATATCGGGCTGGATCACCATGTTTCCAACCAAATTGACAGAGCAAGTATTTTTCTTTTGAGAAAAAGCAAGCTCATCGAATAACTCGTTTAGCTTTGGCAGAACATGCAATGCAGTTAGATCTGGGCCAATTTGCAGGCAAACTCTAATAAGACACTTCGCAGCACACTGGAAAATAGAGTAATTAGTGTCAGTAAATTTTTTTTTAGTTATTTGATAATGAGTACACAACCTTAATTTTGCACCAGTGAAATAACAAATTTTCCTGTGGAAGCGGGAAAACTTGTCCGAGTTTGGAGTTTTTGCTCAGTGCCTAAGCCTAAGCTAATATGTATAGAGGTGTATTGTGTGGAAGGGGTGCGCATATTTGATCAGCAGTGCCTTGATTTTTTTCTCGATTATGAAATATGATCAATTAGTTGAAAATAATTTAGAGCACTGATATTCATTAATAGCAACTCAATCCAATCCAATCATCGCATAAAAAGAGTTGATATTTCCTACTTAAATGAGAAGAGGAAACAATAGAAAGAACCCCAATTTATGCACTAAAAGACATTAATGTTCTATTATTACTCAACACCAAAGGGGATCAAAAAGCAATGTGGAGAAAACAGAAAAAAAAAAGTTCATGAATATATTCCAATTTTAAAGAGTACAACCACATTGGTGATAAGGGAAAAGTGTAAAACACCTGTAGCACCCGGAATCCCATATCTTTGAGCATGAGAATCTTAACATATGGGCAAGTCCTGTCCTGCATAAACATAACCTTATATTTTTTTCACTCTATTGCTTGAGTCTATAATGAAAATATTTGGTCAAAACAAATCTTATACCTCAATCAGCTCCTTGATAATTGTCTCGATAGTCATTACAGGAATAAGGCCATCTAATGCTGTCAGACAATCTATCAAGGCCAAAGAACCCCAACTCTGAATGGGTTCAGGTTTATTAACATCTGATACACCTATGATAGAATGGATGACACTATGTAACAATGGTAGAATTTGTTTCATGACAGAATTTTCTCCAAAAAGTCCACCTGAAAATAAAGGTGAAATGACCTTATAAGTTGAAGAAACACTTTTTTGAAAACAATAGAGTTTTGCAACCCAATTTCAGGAGCATACCAATTCTGATCAAGACATCAACTCCATCATTGCATAGCCCTCTCCCAGAAGAGAGCATCAGAGGCAAAATTGTCTGGATAATTAGTAAACATTAGTCTAGTAAACGTATGAGTATTGCATTGGAAATACATTGCAAGCACAGTTCCATGTGAGCTTTGAGATCAAATAATATACAACATACTACATACAAAACACGACTAAACCTGATGAACTGTAATTGGTACACTATGCTCTTCGCTGGAGCCAATCAGTAGAACAGAAGCAGCAGAGCTCATATGAGGAGCAATGCACAGATTTGAGATTATAAGTGGATGCATTGTCTCAAAGTATGCTTGTTACCTATTCTGTCCCATATCTCCTACATAAATGAGCCTTGAAGAAGGGAAACCTTCAAATGAGAATAGCATGTAGCCTAAAAATGAATCACTTTCGAAATGAAAAACAGGGGAATAAGAAATGGACTAAAGTCATTCTGAAACAAATTCAACAACATACCTGCAAAATTCTCTCGACAGATGGCACCACAAGTTTCATCACTGCCTCTAACTTCAGACATTTCAGAAGTTCTGTAAGTAGTACATAAGCCCATTCAGTTTCCGAATCCGAGGCAGAACTCACTATTAGAGGTAAGCAATAAGGAGCACAAATTTCAGCGCCAATAGCTCCCATTGTCTTCAGAGCTCCTCGTTTTGCAAATGTTGCAGCATATTGAAGACGTGATTCATTTTTAGCTAGAAGGTGAAATGGGGCTAAAAAGAGGTATGATGACTGGACTGATTTCGTGAAGTATGGAGATTCCAGAAGGCATTTGGCAGAAGGCCTCCTAAAAAATAGAAAAAAAAATCAGGAGAAATTTTAGCTAATAGGTACATATAATTTGGTACCAATATTCTAGTATTCAGTGCTATTTGTAAAGGAGATTGACAACACTTGCAGAGATCTACATAAACTTCTTTTACCTGCTCCACTCCTTCTGAATACAGGCTTCAACAACAATTTTGATGTGATTGGGAAGCTCTTGCATTGAATTTGGTAGGACGCCACTTTCCAAGTATGATGCTAACGAATTCAGACCAAAGAGTGGCTTGCCCAGCTGAAGTTCTGCTAAAATACATCCCACAGCAAATATATCGTCTGCACTACTTATGGAGACAACCTTTGATGAAGATATTTGCCTCCAAAGCAATAGATCTTGATATCCCACAAAATCATCATCCACCTCAATATTCTGAAGAAGATAACTTGAATCAATAGTTGAGATCCAGTCATAGTTCATTGAAGAGTCAGGTTCTCTAGATGATGTATTCACAGAAGTATCCCTCAAAAGCTTCTTTTCTTGGGATTCATCCTTCAACCAGTCACCAGTGTAAACATTATATTTAGGAGATAAATGCCATGATTTCTCACAGAATGAGGTTGCTTCTTCAAGTTTATCCAATTCATTACTTTCAGTAAGCAGGGGCTTGCCATCAACATCATTCACTTTAATTCGACCACTGTTTTTCTTAGCAATTTGACGTGGAGGGTGAGGTTGATTAAAAAGAAGGCATCATCTCGTTGACCTTGGCATTGTAGAAGTTGTTGCCGGCAACATAACATTCTTAGCAGCGACAGCAGCCTCACCAGACAGTTTGTAGCCAAATGTGATGTCAATCCAATGATGTATATGACGTGAAACATGGTTGCTTTCTAAAGCATCTCTATGCAACTTAATGAATTCCTCCGGAGAGCCTGCCTAAGAGGGCACAGCTAAATCAGGCATGCGAGAGTGTAGAGAATAAAATATGTATAATCTTTGCATGTTAGAGGGATACTCGTTAGGTGTATAAACTGAACGGACGGCTGTTCGTAAAACACTCAAAGGCAACCTCCTGGCTTTATAACTGCAAACGGCCAGTTCAGATAAGCATTCATCAGACACGTGGTGAGGGATTTCAAATGTTGAGTAAGTGAAATCCAACTGTTCATCACCTTTTGCCAAGCGCCACTTGCTCTTGCTTATATCTCTCCACCCACAAATGCTATTTTCGTCAAGGTTCACACTGAAATCTATGACCCAAGGCATAACTGCGTAAAATGTGTGGTCTCCCCACCGTCTTCCTACTAATCTGGTTAACATTAGCAGATACTCAAAATTACTCAGTTCTCCTCTCCACCAACTATAAAAACTAGATTGCCAATTCTCTGAATCAGATAGATTTAAATCAGCATACAGGGCATGAGAGGAACAACATTCAGAACATAAACCACTAGTAGAAGGATTATGAAAATTATTACTAGGATTCCCCTTGGAGTTCAGAACTTTCTTACATGCATGGTCTAGAAAACACATACTACATAAAAAACGCACACTCAAAACACAAGAAGTACACTCAATTTCCAGTGTGTGTTTCACGGTGTAGTGCATTTTATTCAATGTGTGTTTTAGTGTAGTGCGTGTTTTTTTTTACGTGTGAGTTTTTGGTTTAGTGCGTGGTTTTTTTTCGGGTGTTTATTTTCTTTTGTAATTATTGTGTAATTCAGTGTATGTTTTCGATGTAGTGCGTGTTTTATTATTCATTGTGTGTTTTTGATGTAGTGTGTTTCTTTTATAAGTGAGTGTTTACGGTGTAGTGCGTGTTTTTTTTTCAGTGTGTGTTTTTGATGTACTACGTGATTTTTTCCCGTGAGTGTTTTCCAGTGTATTTGTGTTACGTGCATAAATTTATATAAATATTAGCTAGATTAATTAGTAGAATAATTAGTGGGATAAGTTAGTTAGTTATTAGTGGGTTAGTGGATAAATTAGTAGAATTAATCATTGCATTAGAATAGGTCTTCTTAGTTGGGAAAGTGGAGTCATGCTTAGTTAAACACATTATGCACGTTGCTAGTAGAGTATATTTTTCAATTCATTTGTAATAGTATAAATAGAGATTATGGCACCGAATGGAGATATACAATTATTATTGGAATACTCTCCTCTTTAATCTAATTCTTGTTTCTTGTATTCTTCTCTCCTCTAATTTTCTCTTATTCTTCTAATATTCTCATATTCTACCAAATTTTCGTTTCTAAAAGACTTGGAACATATCAGTGGTATCAGAGCCAGGTTCCATGGAAACTCGAAATAAATCCAATGCCGAGTTTCGCACCGAGGTTTTCGAAGGCTCTTTTAAGCCTTTTTGGACCGACCGATTATGAAAATCCTTCTGAAACTCTCTCACCCGCCTCAAACAAACTACAACCGTGACTATGTATCAGGAGGCTTTCGAAAATTTATCCGACCAAGAGGACGGTCTTCCTGAAAACTTTTTAATCGGTTGTTTTATTGCAGGTCTTTCTGATGAGATTCGTCTGGATGTGAAAATTAAGCAGCCTAATTCTCTAATAGATGCGATTGGCGTGGCACGACTTGTGGAGGAAAGAAACATGCTACACCAAAACCCACAACCTTTCTACTCGCAAAATACACCAATAAACTTGAGAGTCACAACTACTTCCACTTCGGGTATTCTAGGCTCTCCACCCACCATTTCAAACACTACACCAGCTACTAATAATCCGAATATTTCGCCGGCCACATTACAAAAATAACTGGCCAAGAAGCCCGTGAACGAAGACAAAAAGGCTTGTGCTACTATTGTGATGAAAAATTCAAACCAGGTCATCGTTGCCAACGACCTCAATTCTATATGATCGAGGATGTGCACGTGGAAGATTTCCAGTCAACCGACCCTCCAAACACTCAAAACGATCCCGTACATACATCAAGATTTTATCCTTGAGGACAAGGATATTCGAAGCGGGTGGGAATGTTATGTGCATAAATTAATATAAATATTAGCAAGATTAATTAGTAGAATAATTAGTGGGATAAGTTAGTTAGTTATTAGTGGGTTAGTGGATGAATTAGTAGAATTAGTCATTGCATTAGAATACGTCTTCTTAGTTGGGGAAGTGGAGTCATGCTTAGTTACACACATTATGCACGTTGCTAGTAGAGTATACTTTGCAATTCATTTCTAATAGTATAAATAGAGATTATGGCACCGAATGGAGATATACAATTATTATTGGAATACTCTCCTCTTTCATCTAATTCACGTTTCTTATATTCTTCTTTCCTCTAATTTTCTCTTATTCTTCTAATATTCTCATATTCTCCTGAATTCTCGTTTCTAAAAGACTTGGAACATATCAATTTGTTGTTCAATTCAATGTGTGTTTTCGATGTGGTGCGTATTTTATTTTTCAATGTGTGTTTTTGGTGCAGTGTGTATTTTTTCCAGTGTGTGTTTTTGGTGTGGTGCATGTTTTTTTCAGTATGTGTTTTTGATGTACTGCGTGGATTTTTTCCAGTATGTGTTTTCCAGTGTACTTGTCGAGTAATTCGAAGCGAAAAGAAACCACACACAACACCGAAAACACGCACTTCAAAAAAACACGCACTACACCAAAACACACATTGAATAAAATACACTACAGCGTGAAACACACACTGGAAATTCAGTGTACTTCTTGTGTAAAACACATACTACATAAAAAACGCACGCTCAATTACACAAAAAGTACACTCAATTTCCAGTGTGTGTTTCACGGTGTAGTGCATTTTATTCAATGTGTGTTTTGGTGTAGTGCATGTTTTTTCTAAGTGTGAGTTTTTGGTTTAGTGCGTGGTTTTTTTTAGGCTGTTTATTTTCTATTTTAATTATTGTGTAATTCAGTGTATGTTTATGATTTAGTGCGTGTTTTATTATTCATTGTGTGTTTTTGGTGTAGTGTGTTTCTTTTCTAAGTGAGTGTTTACGGTGTAGTGCGTGTTTTTTTAAGTGTGTTTTTTATGTACTGCGTGATTTTTTTTTCCAGCGAGTATTTTCCAGTGTATTTGTTGTGTAATTCATTGTGTGTTTTCGATGTAGTGCGTATTTTATTTTTCATTGTTTGTTTTTGGTGCAATTAGTATTTTTTTCCAGTGTGTGTTTTTGGTATAGTGCGTGTTTTTTTTCAGTATGTGTTTTTGATGTACTGCGTGCATTTTTTTCCAGTATGTATTTTCCAGTGTAGTTGTTGAGTAATTCAAAGCGAAAAAAAATCACGCACTACACCAAAAACACGCACTTCAAAAAAATACGCACTACACCAAAACACACATTGAATAAAATGCACTACACTGTGAAACACACACTGGAAATTCAGGGTACTTCTTGTGTAAAACACAGACTACATACAAAATGCAAACTCAATTACACAAGAAGTACACTGAATTTCCAGTGTGTGTTTCACGGTGCACTGCATTTTATTCAATGTGTGTTTTGGTGTAGTGCGTGTTTATTCAAAGTGTGAGTTTTTGGTTTAGTACGTGGTTTTTTTCGGATGTTTATTTTCTATTGTAATTATTGTGTAATTCAGTTTATGTTTTCGATCTAGTGCGTGTTTTATTATTCATTGTGTGTTTTTGGTGTAGTGTGTTTCTTTTCTAATTGAGTGTTTACGATGTAGTGCGTGTTATTTTTCAGTGTGTATTATTGATGTAGTGCGTGATTTTTTTTGGAGTGAGTGTTTTCCAATGTATTTATTGTGAAATTAAATGTATGTTTTAGATATAGTGCGTATTTTATTTTTCAATGTGTGATTTTTGTGCAGTTTTTATTTTTTCCAGTGTGTGTTTTAGGTGTGGTGCGTGTTTTTTTTCAGTATGTCTTTTTGATGTACTGCGTGAATTTTTTTCCAGTATGTGTTTTCCAGTGTAGTTGTTGAGTAGTTCAAAGCGATAAAAAACCACACACTACACCAAAAATACGCACTACACCAAACCACACATTGAATAAAATGCACTACACCGTGAAACACACACATGAAATTCAGTGTACTTCTTGTGTTAAACACATACTACATAATAAACGCACACTCAATTACACAAGAAGTACAATTAACTTCCAGTGTGTGTTTCACGGTGTAGTGCATTTTATTCAATGTGTGTTTTGTGTAGTGCGTGTTTTTTCTAAGTATGAGTTTTTGGTTTAGTGCGTGGTTTTTTTTCGGGTGTTTATTTTCTATTGTAATTATTGTGTAATTCAGTGTATGTTTTTGATTTAGTGAGTTTTTTATTATTCATTGTGTGTTTTTTGTGTAGTGTGTTTCTTTTCTAAGTGAGTGTTTACGGTGTAGTGCGTGTTTTTTTCACTGTGTGTTTTTGATGTACTGTGTGATTTTTTTTCCAGCGAGTGTTTTCCAATGTATTTGTTGTGTAATTAATGTGTGTTTTCCATGTAGTGCGTATTTTATTTTTCAAAGTGTGTTTTTGGTGCAGATTGTATTTTTTCCAGTGTGTGTTTCACGGTGTAGTGCATTTTATTCAATGTGTGTTTTGGTGTAGTTCGTGTTTTTTTTAAGTGTGAGTTTTTGGTTTAGTGCGTGGTTTTTTTTCGGGTGTTTATTTTCTATTGTAATTATTGTGTAATTCACTGAATGTTTTCGATTTAGTGCGTGTTTTATTATTCTTGTGTGTTTTTGGTGTAGTGTGTTTCTTTTCTAAGTGAGCGTTTACGGTGTAGTGCATGTTTTTTTTCATTGTGTGTTTTTGATGTACTGCGTGATTTTTTTCCAGTGAGTGTTTGATCCCCTAACTATGTTCAGTTGACCTTTGATTATTTTGGAGATTAGAGCAGAAAAACTCCGTAATGGCGGAGAAGTGTTTCGCCTCGAATCCAAACGATTTCTTGTCTTCTCTTAACATATTTCTAGTTAGGACTTGATCAAGGGATCAAATGACTCTGAAACAGATGATAAGAAGACCAAAACCCCGTTTGGACTATAATTATAAATATTAAAAATAATCAGTAAACAGCAACCAAAGAGATCACTTTTACGAGCTGAAAAACGAGTGGCGTCGCCTATGCATAATGTAAAGAGTTTGGTGAAGAAAAAAAAGCTCAATCGGCTAAATCAAGGCAAGAGTGCTTTCTCGAGGGGTTAGATCCAGGTATGATCTTGCCAAAACAAAAAGGGTGTTTACGCTTCACGCCCTACTTTAGGCACCTTTCCTTTCCATGATCTAGCTAACCCCATATTATACGAATCCATTGGGCAAAGAAGCACCGCATTCATTTCTCCACACTTTTCTCCTTTTGTGTTCCTAGCCATCTAGAGATCGAGTTTCCGTTGTTGTCCGTCGCTTTCTAAGTCCATCTTTTAGGGCTTCTGTTACATCCCTTGGGAAGTTCTTCTACCTTCAATCGAGTGAAAGCCAGGGCTAGGGCAAAGATCTATTCGGTGAATATGAACAAGACAGGAAAGCTAGTGCTCGTGAATGCGCTCCTTATATGCATATGATAGTACCCTAGCTCGGAACCAGTCGATTCCTGAGTGCGCGTATCCAGGAACAGAGCCAAGTCAACCGACGCCGAGGATTACTTCACGAGAGAGAGAGAGAGAGAGAGAGAGAGAGAGAGAAGAACTCTATCTAGCCTTCTCTGGTATTCTAAAACAGAATTCCTTGCGGGGAGATATTTTGCTTTTATCATTTCTGTTGGCGCCATATTTCCGGCTATTGAAGATCGAGGAAATCCGCCAAGTTTTGGAATTAAAAGATTGGCAAAGATTTGTTTTCCATATTTATTTTGGAATTTATTAGAGTCCTATTCTTATAATACTTCTATTAGGACTTAGATTTATTTCCATGTATTTTATTCTAGTTAGGTATCTTTTGTACTTATCTAGAATAGAAATAGAAATCAACTAGGATTCTATTACCTAGTTAAATCGATTTCTTAGGGCCCAAGTTAGGTCTTAGGGCTTATTTTCGTGGCTATATAAGCCTCCAAGACATACAAGAACCGTGGGCATTATTTGGGAGAAAAACCACTTCATAGCATCGAAGCTTTGCCAAGGCGTTCTGCGGAGCATGACTGTGCCATCGTTGCACTGTGCCATCGCTGTGTGTGCCAATATATACAGATCTGCTGTATAGATCTCAAGGGAGATCAGCCGCGTTTCTGAAGCGAGTTCGAGGCACGCGGTGTGGAGCTGCTGTTGGAAGAGACACGGAGTTCAAGTTGTGTACAAGAACGGCATATTACATAAAGAGGGAGTCTTTAGTGTTTTTAATAAGTCCTATTAATGTACACTGTAAATCTGAACTAGTGAAATCGTGTTTGCAGGTCCACGTGGATGTAGGGCACATTTGTGTCTGAACCACATTAATTTCTTGTGTTCATTTATTCTGCTTTTAGTAGATTTATAACTGTGTTAACACAAGAATTATAGTTGTAACTGAATACTGTTTCCACAACTTAACTGTTACAACTTAGGTTAATTGATTTTTATAGGCATATAAATCTACAATTGGCATCAAGAGCCTCTCACTAGATATACGTAGTGTGTGATTTTGGGAATTTGATTTATTTGCCTTTTGTCTTCCATAGGAACTATGAATGCTCATATGGAAGGTGGTTCCACGACTCGCCCACCACTGCTTACTGGAACCAATTACTCTTATTGGAAGACCAAGATGAAGATGTTCATCAAGTCAATGGATGAAGATGCATGGCGCACAGTTCTGACTGGCTCGAAACGACTTGTTGCCACAGATGAAAAAGGAATTCAAACTGAGAAACATGAAAAAGACTGGAGCAAAACTGAACAGTTTGCCGCAAATATGAATTCCAAAGCATTGAATGCCATATTCAATGGAGTTGATATCAATCAATTCAAAATCATCTCAGCATGTGAGTGTGCCAAAGAAGCATGGGAAAAATTACAAACAGCTTATGAGGGGACAACCTCTGTTCGATTATCAAAACTTCAGATGCTTGCTACTCGTTTTGAGGATCTTCGGATGGAGGAAACTGAAACTGTGAGAGATTTCAACTCCAAATTATGCGACATCGCAAATGAAGCCCATGGCCTCGGTGAAACTTACCCTGAAGTAAAACTTGTTCGTAAAGTGCTAAGATCTATGCCAGACCGGTTCGCATATAAGGTGACTGCTATAGAGGAAGCAAGTGATGTGGACTCATTGCGGCTTGAAGATCTGATCGGAAATCTACAGACCTTTGAAAACAAGCTGAACATCAGTAGAATGGATAAAGAGAGAAAAATCGCTTTACAAACTGTGTCTGTTGTGACACCATCCGTGCCCTCAGCTCCCATGACAGCACTCGAAGTCAAGCTAACAAAATCCATGTCTTTAATAGCCAAAAACTTCGGAAAACTCGTGAAAATGAATGGACATCCCAGAAGTCCTACAAACAAACAAGAAGTTAGGAAGGGGATTCGATGTAGAGAATGTCGTGGCTATGGTCATATTCAAGCTGAATGTGCAAACACTCACAAGAAGCAAGGAAAATCACTTGCTACAACCTGGAGTGACGATAACTTTGAATCTGATGATGAAAGTGAAGCAAGTGATGCTGAAACAAGTATTGACTTCTGTGGTACATGCAGGGTTACTGGTGTAACACAAAATGATGTCACATGCACTGAGCCACCACACCTCAGGTATGCTACTCGTAATCTCGAGAATCATAGAAATTTAAACACAATTTTTTTGCCCACAGGAAAAGAAGATTCAGAGGATGATGAAGAATGCTCCATTGAGATGATTCAACAGCAACTGAATGATCTTCTAAAGCAATGTCATGAGGTTGGTGATGAAAACAAGCGTTTGAAGGAGAAAGTAAAGGAACTGGAAGAGGAGAATGAAGCAGTTAAAGTCAACCTGAAGGCCAAAATCGATGAGCTTGAATTGGAAAATGAGGTACTAGAGGTAAAACAGGATTTTGCTTTGAAAGATATTGACAATCTAAAAGAATTGCTGAGACATTTGCGAAACAACGATTGCAATAAGACAAGGCATATCAAGAAAAATCCTGAACCCTGCCTCAACCTGAAGTGTGACAACTCCCTTGTCCCAACAACGTTAGAGGCATCAGTCAGTAAGTTAAATCGCACTACGATTCTTCCTTCAAACAGGTTAGATGAAATTTTAAATGCTCATCCCTCAAATCCTGATAAACTTGGTCTTGGCTATATTGGGAGTAAGTTCGATGGTAAACCTAATCCAAATCGAAAAATTAATTTTGTGAATAATACTGTCAAACCTACTCTAGAACATGTTGCCTCACAGTCTTATACAAAAAAGTTTGTGCCAACTTGTCATTTTTGTCACAAAGTAGGACATGTTAGGCCAAAATGCTTTAAAAGATGGAAATTGATAAATAAGAGTTTTGCATATCAATCATCCAATCCCGCTGCATGGGATCACAATTCCCAAAGAAGATACTCTGATAATAAATGGATGAATAAGTATAATGCAAACTGCTTTCCTGCTATTCTTTCTTTAAAAGCATGTACTACGAACTCTTGGTATTTTGATAGTGGTTGCTCCAAGCATATGACAGGTGTACCTAATCAATTAAAGAACCTGCAAAATGTGTCTGGTGGACAAGTTACTCTTGGTGATGGAAACAAGGCCCTTGTGAAAGGAGAAGGTAACTTGGATGTTGGAGGATTACCTAACCTTGACAACGTTCTGTATGTAGAGGGTTTGAAATCAAACCTACTCAGCGTAAGTCAGCTATGTGATCTATACGACTCAGTGTTGTTCACCAAGCGTAAGTGTGAAGTGTTTGATCGAAACCACATGTGTGTTCTATCTGGTTATAGATCCTCTGATAATTGTTATAAAATTGATCAAACTGACCAAGTTGAACAGTGTCCCCTCGCCACCTCTGATATCACAGATATGTGTTATCATCGACTGGGGAATTTGAATTTTCAGGATCTAACACGAAATATCAATGCAGGTTGTGTGAAAGGTGTCCCCCAACTAAACTCCAATACACCAGATTTATGTGGCGAACTTCTAATGGGGAAACAAACTAAGAGCATTGGAAGAGAAATACCAAAAGACAGAATCACAGAAGTATCAGTGCCGACATCTTATGTCACAACTGAAGATGTTACCACTGGTAAAGAAGGTATGAAAACTTGCAATAAGCCAAAGGTTGACTACCAGGAAATGGTCAGGTATGTCTATCTCACTTCCATTGTTGAACCAAAAAACATCAAAGAAGCAATTCTTGATGAATTTTGGGTGTTAGCCAAGCTTGAGGAACTTGAGCAGTTTTCTCGAAATGACATGTGGGAACTGGTTCTGAGCAATGACAAGGTAAAGCAACTAGATGATGAAATATTTATCTCACAGAGCAAATATGCCAAGAACGTGGTAAGTAAATTTGGGTTGAAAAGGGCAAAGCCTTTAACAACACGAATGACCTCAATTGAGAAGTTGGGACGAGATTGTGACGGCACAGACGTTGATTCCACACTACACAGGATCTTGATAGGAAGTTTGTTTCATCTTTCTGCTAACAGATATGATATTTGTTTCAGTGTAGGTATTTGTGCTAGGTACAAAGCAAGCCCTAAAGAGAGTCATTTGAGTGCTGTAAATCGCATTATCCGATGTGTTAGTGGAACACCCGAATTGAGAAAATGGTATTCAAAATATACTAACAATTGTCTTGCAGGGAATAGTGATGCTGACTGGACAGGAGATGTGGATAACAGAAAAAACATCACAGGAGATTGTTTCTACATGGGTAACAATTTGGTATCTTGGTACAGTAAGAAACAAAATTCCATTTCCTTATCTAATGCTGCGTGTGAATACATAGTTGTAGGTAGCTGTTGCACTCAACTCTTTTGGATGCAACATATGTTAAATAAATATGGCTTTCGTGAAAAAGAGTTGCATGTCTTTTGTGATAATGAGAGTGCCATAAATATTTCAAAAAATCATGTTCAGCATTCTAGGACAAAACATATAGATATTCGTCTTCATTTCATCAGGCAATTAGTTGAGCAGAAACGTGTGACTATAGATTATGTGTCCACAGACAATCAACTAGCTGATATTTTCACAAAGCCTCTTGATTTTATTAGGTTTGATTCCTTGCGTAAAGCGCTTGGAATTTGCCATGTGCAAAACTGAATTTTCTATAATGGTGCAATTAATGTTTGTGTCCGGATTGCACTTGAATTTTTTTTCGGACATTATATGTGTCACCTATAAATGTGACATCATTGTTTTTGGAATAGAAATGATGGGAGGTTCATTTTGACTAATTGTTTGTGTGTTAGTTTTTGTGAATTAATTTTTGTTTCCACAGTTAGCCATGATAGAAGTGTGCTGCCCCCTCTATCGGGAGTGATCAATGTCTATGACCTCATTCATCTCGAAGATCATACCTCTATTGGGAGAATTATGCTACCGCATATGCATCTCTGACTTCTATTTAAAAGCTATGTGGATTCTTAAGGAGGTTGCCCTCCTAATGTTTGCTTGAACATCATATCAACAAAAAGGGGGAGGACAAGAAAAACAGTTCTAATTCAAAAAAAAAAAAAAAAAAAAAAAAAAAAGGAAAAAGTTGGGATGATATTCAAGCATATATTAGGAAATTCTCCTTGAAGTCCACGATCGAATTGCTGAGCTAATCGCATACGCATTCATAACCCTAAGAAAATTACCTAAATTATGGTTTCTTGAGTATGGTCATGGGGTCATAGTTATATCGTGCATCCAAGAGTTTGATCGGTGGCCTTCTATTGTGATTTTCTTTAAGATTATCAAATTAATTCATGAAAACCGAGCCCTCAACTTTTAATCTTGTGATCTTCTTGATTTTCTTTTCCTTAAAAGATGTGATTTTTTTTTCTTCGTTTTAAAATTTTTTCTTGAATTTTTTATATATGGGCTTTGTGAATTTTTTTGGCTACTAGTTGTCTCTGGCCACGTGGCTATGGCCATGTCATCTGCCTTCTCTATTTTTTGATGTTTCGTGTGGAGAATATCTTGTTTGTTATTGGTCACGGATTTTGTGGGATCTTCTTCTGATTTGAAAATATCTGGTATTTGAAGAGTCCTCTCCTTTTTTGCCTCTTTTCTCGGTCCTTGTGCTTTAAATATCTGCCCCTTCTAGGGTTTCTGAGTTTATTGTGGCCTCTGGCTGACTGTTGACACATGGCTGTCTTGATACGTGATCTGTTTGAATCTCTGAAGAAGCGTGTGGGAATATACTTTTGTTTTATCATGTTGTTTGTGGCATCTGTTATCATCCTATCTTTAGGGCTTCTAAGATTTCTCAATATTTCTTATACTCGACCTCTCTCTCCAATATCTCTCTATGCTTTTCGAAATCTACTCGTCTCTTCTCCTTTTTGTGCTCCACAGATTTACTATGGAAAGAACAAATCAGTCGAGGGGTCTGAAATGAGGAAGCACAAACAACTGTGCATCGCCGTCCGACAAGAAGTCTGGAAAAACGTCAAAGTTTGTGACGACAACAGTGGTCTCTGTAGTTCCCATCTCTCTCATGGCCATAATTCCGGAGCCCATACTCACACATGTGCAGTCACCAGCCCCAAAGCTCCGAATAAGGTGTTGTCTCTGATCCGCTGGACAATAAGTGATCCTTCCATGTCTAAGGCAGAAGATGTTGGTGGTGAAGACCATGTCGCAATTGAAGAAGCTACGTTCAGTGCCCATGTGCAGCTTTGCCGGCCTCAAAGGAAGTTTGAGAGCAATTATGGTCTTGAGGATGAGTCATACGCTTCGAGTGGCCACAAATCTCTTTCAGAGCAGACTTATGCTGCCTTTACTGCCGTACATCCAACTAGATCTGAGTCATCAGAATCTTCACCAGAGTCCTAACTCTCTGTTGATTCTCCGTTGATGGGACTCGCGGTCACTTGCAAAGGGAAATTTTTCAATGTGGCTCCTGAATTGAATAAAGATTTTTACCGGTGTAAGAATCAAATCACTGTTTAGTCCTTTGTGTCAAGTACACCAAAGCCGCTGTGATCACTGTATGCTGAGTTTCCCTGAAGCGTCACTCATGCTGTTTTTATCAACATTGGGGAGTACATATATGCTCAAGATGGAGCTCTTGCTAACTCTCGCACAAAAAGTTGGAGTGTCTGTCTTTTCCCTCGATTGACCTATCACTCACTGTCACAACATTTCTTAGTGAGAACTTCAGCTTCTATGCCTGAACGACCAATCACTATTCATCCTAAGGTATTGGTTGAGCATTTTGATGATCCTCAAGAAGATGCTTTGTCTGTGGTCCAGGTTGCTCTCAAGGCGAAGAAGAGTTTACTTAATGCTTCTGGGCCCATGACATCTGGTTGCTCCTGAAATTGGTTGTATCAATGAGAATTTTACAAAACTTCACGTGAGGATTACATCTGTAACTCCTGCTTTGATCAATGACTTTTATAAGTGTCCAAACGGGGTTACTTCTAAACCTTTTGTTTCTAGGGACACTCTGGCCTCTGTTCTCACTGCCAAAGTGTTGAAAAAATGGCCTGGTCCGAAATCTGCTTCTCATGTCTCTAAGCTGGCTCAATTGTATTCGGTCCTGTTCAAGATAGGCATTTCCAACTGGTTTCCCACTAACCACAATGCCACTCTCAATCCCACCCAAGCTGAATTTTTATGGTGCATCACTCATGACCATAAAATCAATATTGGTGATTGGATTTTCAATCAGATTGGTGTGTTAGCCAATTCCCGAACCGAGCGTGAGCATCTGCCGTTTCCTTCTTTGATATATCAGCTCTTGATCAAACAAGGCCTGCCCACTCGTGATACCACTCTGTTGGATCCTCCTGGCCGTCCAATCACTATCCATGGTAAGGTCTCTTCTGAACATTTTGCTGATCTGCCTCCTATCGATCCTTCTGTTGTTCAGACGGCCTCTCGCACGAAAAAGGATCCAATTGTCTCTGCTTCTATTCCGCCGCCAGTTGATGTGGTCACCAAAGATGAGCTCACTCGTTTTTAGGAGTCTATCCAGGCTCAGCTTGCTCAGGGATTTTCGTCTATTCAGGACCAGCTTCTTAAGACTTTGGCACAGTCTGGTCAGAAAGGGGGAGTAGCAACAACTCCTGCAACTCCGCATGCCCCAACAAAAACTTCAATGATGAAGCAGCAGTCCACAACCGCAAGGCAAAGCGTCCAGCAATTCTTATGATAATGATCAGCTCTCCGACTATGATTATAGGGAAGTTTCCTTGAAAAACTTTTTTGTTGTCCTTTTTGAACTGCTTAAATTTATATCTTATTTAGGACTGTTATAGTTGTGATTACTTTTCTATTTTTTGGATATCATCTTGGTTATCTTTATTTTGTGCCTTGGGCTTGTTTTGGATAACTTTGTGCTGCAGGAAATTTCTCTGTTACAACATCTATGTGTTGCAACCTCTGTTGTACTAACAGTATGTGATGCAGGGGGAGTTAATCATTCCTGCAAAGAGAGAAAATCTCATATGCAGGGGGAGTTCTTGTTAAATATGGATTCTGACCAATCTATGCCAAAGGGGGAGATTGTTGGCGCCATATTTCCGGCTATTGAAGATCGAGGAAATCCGCCAAGTTTTGGAATTAAAAGATTGGCAAAGATTTGTTTTCCATATTTATTTTGGAATTTATTAGAGTCCTATTCTTATAATACTTCTATTAGGACTTAGATTTATTTCCATGTATTTTATTCTAGTTAGGTATCTTTTGTACTTATCTAGAATAGAAATATAAATCAACTAGGATTCTATTACCTAGTTAAATCGATTTCTTAGGGCCCAAGTTAGGTCTTAGGGCTTATTTTTGTGGCTATATAAGCCTCCAAGACATACAAGAACCGTGGGCATTATTTGGGAGAAAAACCACTTCATAGCATCGAAGCTTTGCCAAGGCGTTCTGCGGAGCAGGACTGTGCCATCGTTGCACTGTGCCATGGCTGTGTGTGCCAATATATACAGATCTGCTGTATAGATCTCAAGGGAGATCAGCCGCGTTTCTGAAGGGAGTTCAGGCCTGAAGGGAGTTCGAGGCACGCGGTGTGGAGCTGCTGTTGGAAGAGACACGGAGTTCAAGTTGTGTACAAGAACGGCATATTACATAAAGAGGGAGTCTTTAGTGTTTTTAATAAGTCCTATTAATGTACACTGTAAATCTGAACTAGTGAAATCGTGTTTGCAGGTCCACGTGGATGTAGGGCACATTTGTGTCTGAACCACATTAATTTCTTGTGTTCATTTATTCTGCTTTTAGTAGATTTATAATTGTGTTAACACAAGAATTATAGTTGTAACTGAATACTGTTTCCACAACTTAATTGTTACAACTTAGGTTAATTGATTTTTATAGGCATATAAATCTACAATTTCTTCTCTAGCAGCTCCTTCTGTAAGACGAGTTCCTCAGAGAGAGTTGTCACGCGCCGCAAAGAGACTTCTTACTCTGTTCCTGGCATTCAAGCTTTCAGTTTAGGGAGTGATATTCTAAGACCAATGCTCAGAGACCCTAGCTTTTTCCCAGTCAATAGCTATCTACGTAAAACATTCCATATTCCCGCTCTCACTCCCTTCAACAATAGCCATGTCATATTCCTCGGGAATTGCCTAAACTTCCTCTCTTCAACATCCATTGACCTAGCTCTGTAAAAGAGGACTTTCTAATCATCTTACGTCCAGCCAGTGCATGCAAGCCCTCTTCATTCGACTACAGATGTAGCAAGCCGCTTGAAATTTAGATTAAGCTTAGGATAGCAAAGTGATGGTTATAGATATAGATAAAAAGCCAGTTCTAGCTCAACCTCAAAAGCTGGGGAAATCTTTTCGATTATTAATTTCTTTTGAGCCTGTTGCAGGGACAGATCAAATACATCTAGAGTTCGCTTACTCAAGTAATAGTTCCATCTATTTGAATTATAGGAGTCAAATGAATAATCTTTTTCAAGCTATCGAGCTATAGGACAAGCAAAGTAAAGCGAAAAGATCTATCCAGTCCAGCAGGTATAGCAGGTTTACTAGCCATTGATCTAACTAGTTTGAATTCTAGTTTCCAGTGATTCAATTGCATAAAAAAGGATATATATATTCCCAAGCGAGCTCATTGACCTGCGGTTTCCGTTGGACTCTCTAGAGATTTCTTTTCATGAGAGGATGTAGGATTGCTATTACTATAATAGGCATATGGACAGATGTGTTAATAAGCGTCTAGGAGAATAATAAAATATGCTTTTATTTTCCTTAATATAAAAATACTATAATGAAATAGGGATTGTACCCCAAACCTCTGTGGAAGTCAAATACAGTGATCAAACCCTAAAGTGAGCCTTTACCGAGTGTAGGAATGACTTGCTGCTCCAACCTTCTGAGGGCTAGGGACAAGGGCTTTACTCAAACTCATATGAATCGAGTTACATACCTGGAAAGAGCGTTGTA